AGAGGATCCCACATATATATATATGCATATTATATATATATATATAACTTTATATATATATATATATATATATATATATATATACATATACATATACATATACATGTATATATATATTTATATAGTTATATTTATATTTATATGTATATATATATAACCTATATATCCATATATATACTTCAATATATATATATATATATACATATACACATATATATATACATATATATATATATATATATATATATATATATATATATATATATATATATATATATATATATATATAACAGTATATACCTGAGTATATCACCACCACATAAAACACTCATATATCATACACATGCACACATACATACATCCACACCCATACACACCACCCACAGAGAATCTTCAACGAATTCGAAGCGGAGCTCAAGAAGAACTCGTCGCGTGTGCCTGAGGATGGCACTGTGCATGAGTTGACTAGTAATACCATGTCGTTCTTCAACCGTGTGTGGGTGTACCATGACACAGCAGACACCGTCCTCCTGACCTCAGGCAAAGACCGCGGGAAGGTCGGCGACTGGTTCAGTATGTGTGGCGGGTGTAAGGGTGTTAGGGTTTAGGGTTTTGTGGTCTAGGGTTTATCTGTTGTGGTTGTGTATGTTCACGTGTGTGCACGTGTGTGCGAAGCATTTGGCAGTGCTTGTGTATACCAGCATGGATGTACCTCTGTACTGTTCTGCATGCATGCATAGTGTGTTGTATATATATATATATATATATATATATATATATATATATATGTGTGTGTGTGTGTATGCATCCCGAGTCACTGGTACAACCAGTGGTAAGAGGGGAGCAGCAAGTGTAACTGGAGCATGCGTGCAACTGATATGCATAGCACACACTCTTAAGGCATGTGTGTATGTGATATACATAGCACTTTATTATAACATGTGTTCACCTGACATATAACTACCTACTATACCAACACACATGTCCATGGCTGTACTATGCTCTTGTGTTCAATAGATCAGCTATTTATTATAACATGTGTTCAATTCATCGCGTGTATATCATAACACGTGTTGTGCCTTATCTCTCTCTCTCTTTGACTGCATATCATAACACGTGCTGTACCTTATCTCTCTCTCTCTCTCTCTCACTGCATAGGCCGAGCCCTCAATACACTGCAGCAATGTCTGCAAACGAAGTCAACACAGTATAACGACAAGACACTGGCCATTGTCTTCCTGCTCAACAACTTCCACTATGTGCTTAAGGTGTGTATGTTTATGTATATGTATATTTATACTGTGTATTTAATGTGTGTGTGTTAATTTATGCTTACACTATGTACTTAAGGTGTGTATGTTTATGTACATGTATATTTATATTGTGTACTTAATGTGTGTATGTTAGTGTTTGCTTACACTATGTGCTTAAGGTGTGTATGTTTATTTAAATGTATATTTATACTGCGTACTTAATGTGTGTGTGTTAGTGTTTGCTTATACTATGTACTTAAAGTGTGTATGTTTATGTATATGTATATTTATGCTGTGTACTTAGTGTGTGTGTGTTAGTGTATACTCATACTATGTACTTAAGATGTGCATGTTTATGTATATGTATATATGTATACTGTGTAATTAGTGTGTGTGTGTTTGTGTATACTTATTCTATGTACTTAGGGTGTGTATGTTTATGTATATGTATATTTATACTGTACTTATTCTATGTACTTAAGGTGTGTATTTGCCTGTATATTTGGATGAGTCTCCTGCGTGTAAGTCTGTGCATGTTATTCTGCAACATACAGCTCAGTTGCCAAGGTAACCCGTCGAATGCACACAAAGTTTGTATGTTGATTCGTTTTCCCTATTTGTATGTGTTCATTCTCTATGCCTAATGTGTGTCTGTTTTCTTCCATGCGTGTCCATAGTCCTAGAACCCGTCGTTACAATCACATACCCATACCCTGGTCACAACACCTCTGTGTTCAATGTCTATCTAGTTATACCGGCACTATCTATCTAGTTATACGAGCACTATCTATCTAGTTATACGGGTACTAACTATCTAGTTATACGAGTACTAACTATCTAGTTATACGGATAATATCTATCTAGTTATACGGGCACTATCTATCTAGTTATGAGGGCACTACCTATCTAGTTATACGGGCACTATCTATCTAGTTATACGGGTACTAACTATCTAGTTATACGGGCACTGTCTATCTAGTTATACGGGCACTATCTATCTAGTTATACGGGCACTATCTATCTAGTTATACGGGCACTATCTATCTAGTTATACGGGCACTATCTACATAGTTATACGGGCACTCTATCTAGTTATATGGGCACTATCTATCTTTTATATGGGCACTATCTATATATTTATATGAACACTATCTATCTATTTATATGGACACTATCT